TTATAATCAGTCACAAGAACGTCGAATCTGAATCACTTGAAAAAACACGGGGGTGCTTAACTTTTTTCCAGGTGTATAGATATCATACACGCCCATGATATATTTCGATATATTTTTTACACATTCAGAGTTAGACTACGAGTCTGATAGTATTGATTATTAATAACGTTAAAAGCTTGAACCACGTGTTTATGTATTTTAAAATTATGATTGGTATTATCTTTAGTAATGAGTACGAAATAAAATATTTCATAAAAGGGTTTTGCCACCCCCCACCCCTCAGTGGCATAGCGGTAAATTTCCGTACGTTATAACGCTAGAAACCTGGTTTACATACCCGTGGTGAGCATAACACAGATAACCCATTGTGCAGTTTTGCGCTTAACTACAAACAAACATAAAAGGTTTTAATGTTTTCGATAAATATAATGCCAGCGTCACTTATTATTTTAAAATAATATTTGTTACTAGTGTAATGAAAATAGTTCGGCTTTACTACGAAGATATCAGGTTGCAAAGACCGTGCTTTGAATCCGAAAAGAGACCTCCATGTACAGAAGTAAAAAGCACTCTTCGAACGAGGCCTAAATATTTATTTTCTCGAGTCAGTTTGTTTCGTAATTTTGAAAAGCGTCAGAAAAGATCGGTCGTATTGTTTTTTTTTTCGAAAAACACTTGTTGAAGTAATATACAAATAGTTCTTTATGAAACTGAATCACTATAATACTTAATATACGGATTCTAAAAGATAACTTGACAAATTACAGCGTTTCATTAGGTTAACGTGATAATGGTGCACTGAGTAATATGGATAAGACATGCGCAGTGGTTAAAAATTTTGTGAGTGTCACAGATTCCTTGAAAAATCACGACTGTTAGACATCAAAGCGCGAGACGATAAAGTGAGCCCTCCCAGTGCCACAGCGGTATGTCTGTGGACTTACAACGCTAGAAACCGGGCTTCGATACCCATGGTTGGCGGAGCACAGCTGGCCAATTGTGTAGCTTTGTGCTTAAATTCAAACAAACGATGAAGTGATTCAGGGTTCTTCTATTTAATTGGTATTGCAAACTAATTACAGATTAAAGTGCCAACAAAACGAATGAAGACAGTCTTGCAACATGCTAGAGCTACAAAAAGCGAGCCCGGTTAAGAAACGTATTGGTTAGGTTACTTTTACTTTTATTGGAAAAAAAACAACAACAACACAGAAATATATGCTATCTTCTAACCATTCCTAAAAATTGTTATGGATCCACCAGTGAAATAGCGGTAAGTTTACGGACTCGCATCTGGAAAATCCGGAGTTCGATTCCCTGCGGTAGACATAGCAGATAGCCCAAGGCAGCTTTTCTCTAAAACAAACAAACTCATTACATTACCAGCGATTATTTCGTTAATCTTCGATTACTAGTTTAAGTTAGTAAATTTACTTTTACATATGATTAAATTAAAACGCTTAACCTTGTCTTCATCCTTGGCAGTTTATCAAAAGGAAGTAAGTAAAGATGTTCATATAATAGCAAAATATTAAGCTAATAAAGATACACTCTGGTGATATGGGTCGTTATTTTGTGTACCTTATCAGTAATAAGTTTCAGTTTGCGTTAAAGAAAGTTAAGAATAATATTTAATAGCACTGTGGAATAAATAATAACTGTCCAATAATAACCGTGGGTTTGGAACATGGAATCTATTGTATACGAGCCGGAGTACTCGTCCCCTGGACGGAAATTGTGTAAATTCATGATTGATGTAAGGTTATCTTAGGGCATGAAAGTTGCTTCTTTTATATGTAATTGTAAAAAAACACAAAAACGTCCATAAAAACTGCAAAACACAAAAAGGGGGAGAACCGCAAATTTGCATATATCTCCCCCCCATGGATCCAATGATCTTTCATACCAAATTTGGTGACGATCCATGTACAGGAGGTGAGGTAGTGGTAAAAAAAAAAACGCCCATAAAAAACGCAAAATGAAAAACTGGAAATTTATATGTACCCCCCCCCCCGCATGGATCCTATGAACCTCCATACAGACAAACAGACAGTACTATTATATTTATATAGATACTGACTTCTGTTCCTCTGTGTGTATCTGTATCCATTGTTATTTAGTATTGGCTGATTCAGATATCCTAAGTAAGTTCAGAAACTGTATTTTCCTCATCACTTAATCAAAGAGCTCCAAACCTTTCCGGATGACCTAAAGAAGGTTTTGGTATTATTTCCCCCGCTGAGGCTCGGCAGGGATGTACGCGAGAACCCGCCGTCTGACGCTCGTGTGTATAAGATAGCTTCACACACTGTAAGAGAAGTCGACATTAAAACAGGAAATAACCAATCAGCATTAATCTTAAACTGACCATTATGTAGGCTGTCAGAAAAGTTCGAGTTGAGAAAGAAAGACATAACAAACGAATGACGTCATTGCTCCTAGTGTAAATATCTGTGGGCGTGACGTTGGATAGTTGACGGAATAATTGCATGTCAAGATCTAAAGTAATGTCTTATATCAACGTACGGATATGATATTCACCCAATAACAGAATATCCTTGGCTTATTCATTTAAACATACTATTTTTACATTGTACTCCAATTCAGAGCCGCGGGAAGTGACGTGCTAGAGGGGCCGTTACCCCAGTCGTTGAGAAACTAATAAGTTTCTGTGCTGAAATTCACCAAAATCTTTGGGTTTTAGCACTATCCTCAATTCAGAAATCGTTTCCTGCGTTTATGCTATGCCTTTTCCCCCTCTTATTTTTTTGCAATTTGTTGGGGGGAAAATAATGAATATATGTGTATGACATGACTTCATGATGTGTTCATCTTAATTATACTTACGTTATCAATCTAATTACTTTGCATTCCGTTAGATTTAATTGCAAAGAGTCATTTGACCTTCTCTTAAATATTGTATTTTCTTCTGGAATAACGAGCACCGAGCCCCCCAGTGGCACAGCGGTATGTCTGCGGACTTACAACGCTATAATCCGGGT